AGGGGCAAAAAATGGCATTTTCTGCATGAAAATGCTATTTTCTGCACAGAATAATATTTTTGAGGAATTGCATCCCTAGTTTTCCTCCATATAGCTCAGCATCTCCTTCAGGCATCTTTGGTCTATGTTGTTCATTTTCATTTATTCATCTTTCTACTCCTGCCATAACATCTGCAATGCACCTGTCATTTGCCTTGTGCTCACTCTTCTTAAGCACAGAGTTATACTTTTGCTTAACACTTCCCTGTCATCAGGATTGTGGAGTTCCACTCCAAATGGGTATGCAGTTAAAAAAAGCAAATGACAGCCCAGACAGAAATGAACAGCTCAGACTGAAGCGTGAGTTGATTCAGCTGGACATTCTCCATTTCTCTCAACTTCTCAGTAGTAAATTTTTGACTAGTTTGACTATGTGATTCAAGAAGGAGAAAATGGAGACACAGATTAGCATTTATTATGAGAAAGTATATGCTTATATATCTTCTTAAGCCATTTTCTTAGGCCCAGATTAGTGTAGTGGTTTGAGCATTGGACTATGACTCTGGAGACCAGGGTTCAAATCTCCGCTCAAACATGGAATGAATCCCACTGGGTGGTCTTGGGCAAGTCATATTCTCTTAGCCTCAGAGGAAGGCAATTCTTGTCAAGAAAACTCCATGACAGGTTCACCTTAGGATCACCAAAAGTAAGAATGTACACAATAACAACTACAACAAAGCCATATTTATTATGCTTGATCATTCATTTGCTTTTATTTATTCCAACAATTTTTATCACACCTATCTACACCAGAATACACTCAAGACAGATGATACAGATTTAAGCAGAAGGAGATGGCAAAGCCTACCAACCTATGAGCATGTCATGCTCTGTTTATCAAAATGGAAAAAGCTTTTTGGGGGGTGAAAAAGTATGTTTGGTGAAGGTTTTCTAATTCAGATAATATTAGCAATATAGTGAGGACTTCTGTGAAAAGGTATAGTTGTAAAACATGACAAGTAGATGAGAGTCTGCCCCATCTTTTCTTATTACCAGCTGATTTTGCTCCAGCTTCCTTTCTCTTAACCCGAGCTATCACTGGTCCTCTTGCCTTAAGCCTAGTGCTTCTTTCTTTCTCATTTTCTTTGACTTCTTCTTGACATTGGCTGCCCTATCACCTAGACCACCTTCAAGTGCTTCTTGTTTCTTTCCCCTTTGCTCACCTCCATAACTGTTGCTTGTTCTTTTTGCTCTGGGGTTTACTCATATTTCCTATATATATAGACTGGAATTGCCATACCACCAAAATAGTTTTACATAGATACTGTACATGCCACCCGATGCCCATTTAGTCCTTTATTTGGACCAGATTCCAGGATTTCATTTAAAATAAATAAATAAAATAAAACAAGGGTAATAAGAAAATCAACTCATCTGAGATGTGGTGCTGGAGAAGAATGCTGAGGATGCCATGGACAGCCAAAATGACAAACAAATGGGTCCTTGAACAGATCAAGCCCGAAATATCCCTAGAAGCACAAATGATCAAATTGGGGCTGTTGTACTTTGGCCACATCATGAGAAGGCACAACTCATAATGCTAGGAAAGGTGGAGGGAAGTATAAACAGAGGAAGACCGCATGCCAGATTGATGGACTCAATCAGGAAGGTCACAGGTGTCAATTTACAGGACCTAAACAGAGCAGTGGAGGACAGTGGGTCTTGGAGACGCCTCATCCACAGGGTCACCGTGAATCAAGGTTGACTCGAGGGCAGTTAACAGCAACAACAATAATCCTCTAGCCCTTGTAGAAGCTGACAGATGACTCCAAATTTGTTCAAATTATTCTGCAAGAAGGCTGCCCTTGCTTTTCAGGTATAAGAAAGCAGAAATGAGTGCTGCAAGTGGCAGAGTGCAAGAAGCAAGGAAGGAATGCATTGTGAGTTTGCAAGGAAAAGTAAGGTAGGGAGTAGGAGATACACAAGAGTGAGAGCAGCAGAGTGCAAGAAGTAAAAGAGGGGCATGTGAAAAGGACAGATGATGAGGCATGGAGGTATAGAGAGGTGAGAGAACACTGAGTGCGAGAAGCAAGGGAGGGATGCATTACAAGGGTGTAAGGAGAGGTGAGGCAGGAAGTGGGACAGATTGGAGAATTAGCAGAGTGGGTGGCAAAGTGAAAGAAGCAAGGGCAGGGTGCATTGCAAGGACAGGAGGGGAGGGGAGGGAGGGAGAAGGAGGGGAAGGAGAGAGGTGCCAGAAGCAGAGAGCAAGAAGCAAGGGCAAGGTGCATGGCAAGGGCAGTATGTGAAGTGAGGGAATATGAATAGTGTGAGCAACAGAGCACAACTCTATGGTCAACCTCTGGCAGAATTACACTGGAGGACCTAAAGATTCCAAGAGATAACATAATCAAATCCACAAAAGTCAAAGCCGTAAATGTGGATGGCCAACTGTATAAACTTCCTCCTTTCTTTGTCCCTTCTTCCTGTCTGTTTTTGGCTTTTCCTGCTATCCATGGATGTAGGCTGTGGTCACATAGTATCTGTGATCAACAAGATGTGTGGAAGAAATTTTCCAACTTGGCAACCTGTTGAAATAGCAGCACTTGTTGGAGAGTGAACTTTCTGTTCATGTAGATAGAGTTTAAGAGGTTGATGTGCTGTATTGTTTAATTTACTTGTTTCTAACTCCTTTTTATCCTTTTTAAGTTAAATGTTTTAAACTGTTTCAGTATTGTCAAGTGTTTAATTCTATTTCATTGATCACATTTTAAATGTTTTTAATTATATTGTAATTATTTTAATTTGTAATCTGCTTTGAGTCCCAATTTGGGAAATTATGAGGTATAAATAGGGTTAATAATAAGTTAATTGTTTGAATTACATTAAATAGTTATATAGAAGAGTGCATTTTGGCTGGTTTAGTTTGTCCTATAGGAGTAAAGAAAGATTTAGGACCTTATCGCTCCACTCAAATAACCCAGCTTACCTCTTCTGAAAGTCTAATTCAGGCGGCAGCCAGGTCCTATCTCAAGGATTTTGCTGCTGAAGCTGCTGGGCAAGTCCAGCTCAGCTGCAGCCTGGGTCCCAGGCATGCTTCAGCAGCCTTATTTCGAAACTGGG